CCCCAAAACCCCAAAACCCCAAAACCCCAAAACCCCGCAATACTGAAAAAGAATTGAAATGGCTTATTTATATATATCTGAAGGGGTCTCAAGTCATCTTTCAAGATTCCTCTTTCTAGTTGTCAAATGTCTGAAGATAGAGGGAGGAGGTACAAGCATCCTGTTTGAAGATAAGTTAAAATCTGGCTCGATATGAGTAAATTCAGCCAAAAATTTTCTAGGTCTCTTAATCCTAAAACGTGGCAATTGCACTTCCTTGAGCGTTGACAAGTCAGAACTATTCCTAGCATGAGTAAATTGAGACACTTTATCTCTTTTAGAGTAATTATCAACACTTTTGTTTCTTGTAAATATCCTGGAAACACGAGGGAGAATAATCTTAGGCTTTCTTCTAAAACTTCGAGCATTCCTGTTTTTTGACTTTTTAAATTTCTTTATCAATTCTAGAGAGCATAAAGTGATCTTATTAAAAATTGCACATACCTATTCTTGTGTAAGTCTCATGAATCTTTCCTAGAAATCAAGGATTAGAACTACCTGAGAGATTTGAAGTGTCCTTTATTTAAGAGAGTATTCGTCTTTGTCCTCTACGACAAACTCATTTATCTTATTCACAGTATTATTCAGTTTGTGCCAAAAAGAGGAATGTTTAATCCTGCTCCCATCTCGATCTGTATTTTGATTTTTGTTGATATATCCTACAAATTTAGATTAAGTTAGAATGTAAATTTGCATCAGAGCACTTTATGTCTTTGGGAAATTGTATTTTACCTTGATTCTTGATTATCTAAACCAGTTAGTATCAAAATTACTTACAGTCACCTTCTCAGGATTGAATTTTTCAAAAGATCCTAGCTTGAACTCATTCTTATCTGATAATTCTTTATAAGGAGAGTCATATTTCTTGCTCTCTGAGAACCTATAAAGGGTATCTAAAATAATACCTGTATAGCTTCATCTCAGTGTTCAATTAAAATTATTTTATTGGGGTTTTGGGGTTTTGGGGTTTTGGGGTTTTGGGG